GGCGCGCATACCATCAGCTGTCTCCTGCAGGTGAGGGAAAGGCGCAAATCAGAACGATGGGCTTGCCCATCCCGGAGTGGTTCGACTCCACATGAATCCGAGACGGTGACGGGAAGCGTCTCAGCGGTCTCAGGCCCAGTGAGGTAGTGCGCGGACTAACCCGGATCCTGCTGAACAAGTTCCTCTTGTAGCTCGATCGGTCACACCGCCATCGCCGTCGGGGAGAGGGGGGACGACACTGCTTCTGCAGCGTGCACCTCGATCCTGCACCGTGTTTGTTATGACCCCCCCCCAATGAACACACCAGTGAGGGAGGGCGAGACGATCGAGGGGTCCCGTACCATGCGGAATCGACCCTATCCAGTGCTCAAGTGCTCAAGTGCTGCTGCTAAGACAGAAAGAAAGAGAGAACACGGCGATCCGAAGCGAGTGATGGGAGGAGGACAAGGGAGACCGGTCCAGAGCCACGCCTCGCTCTTTGTACATGCTTCTCCACCTCCTCACCGTGGCCTTCACTGCGCAAGACGGCCCTCCAAACGACTGTTTCTCCTGGTGCCTCCCGTCTCTCCTCGGGCCGACCGCGTCCGCCATCCCGGGCGTGGCGCCGCCGGCGAGTGATGAAGCAGCAAAGCGCATCCTCGGCGCGTCAGCAAAGAGCATAGGCGACGTCGGAGAGTACCTCGACTGCGTGCGCATCACAAACGGCACGCACGAGCCTATCGCTGCCTATGCGCTGGCGCGCTTCTCGCTGCCGCTCGGCGGGGCCACCGCGTCGCCGACCGCCGGCGCCTCCCAGCATTACGGCTGCTGCGTGCCAAAGGCGTGCGGCGCAGAAGAGCTCGAGCGAGGCTTTCGGGTCACTCTGCCGAGTAAGCTCAAATCCGCCACCGAGACGGCCGCCAAGACCGGGGCCGCATTGGACGCCATCGCCGCAGCGATCGACGGCCTCCCGCGCAACAGCAGCTTTTCGGCGGCGGCGGCGGCGCTGCGGCGCGACGCGGCCACAGCGAACCAGTCGCACATGCCGCGGGCTGCCGCGGCGCTCTCCGCTGCCGCA